TCGGAATAGTTCAGAATATAAAGCATAAATTTTGTTCAAAAAATAATTTCAGTTTTGCGACCAGCTAGATATAACCAGCCTTATTCCTACATTTATATTAATTCTTCTATAATTTTGCAAATTCTTATTAATATTTTTGTAAGTAAATAGCAAGCACGAAATATTAAAATTGCAATCAGAAATTAATTGTATTTTCAATGAAACAAAAATCAAAAAACAAAAACAAAATTATGCCCCATGGTCAATGGAAAAATTATGAATTCCATCTAAAAAAAAAAATATTCAATTCTCTAGATAATTTAAAAAAAAAAACAAAACAAAATTCTCAAATTATTATTGTGACATCACTTGATTTTGTCAGTAGCATTTCAGTAGGAGGATGCGAATTAAATTTTGTTAAGATTTTTACAAAAAAAAAAAATTTCTAAAACTAATCAAACAATTTCCGCCATTTTCTTTTCCTATTCTTTAATTTTTCTTATTCTTTTCTCTCTCTACTCTTTTTTTTTTATTTATTTCTAACCAGAAATGAATTCAACTTAAAAAATTTAAATAAATTCTAAAATACAAACACATTATTACGTTATCATATCATCTGACAAGTTTATTTAATTTATTTGTTTATTTTTATATCAAATAAATTCAACGAAAAAAAAAAAAATGAAATGAAACGCTTTCATAATAGAAACGAAAAAAAAAACCAAAATTGAAAATATTTTCTAAGTGTACGTAAAGAAATAGAATAATATTTAAAATAACGAAAAAGAAAAAGTAAATAAGAAAAAAAAAATTTTTTTTTGTCGGATTTTCCACCATGGCCAAATCTAAATGCAAATTTTCAAACGACAAACAAAAATGCAAGGCGAGCAACTTTTGGTTTTTTTTTTTGTTGTTCTGTTTTTCGATTTTTTTTTCTTTTATTGTGCACAACAGTTTTGTTGTTTCTATGTCGCAAAATTTTAAGATAGACTTGAAAACAACAAAATAAATATGAAAACAAAAATACGAAAAAAATTTTTAAATAAAAAATGAAAAAGTTGCGAATAAAAGCTTTTCAGTATCACAAATAAATTAAAAAATAAAAATAACAATAAAAATAAAATAAGGAAGATAAATTGTTTAATAATTCTAAAAAAGCGTTTTCTTTTTTCTAAACTAAAAAATATTATAGACTTACAATATGTTCTCAAATACTTATAACAACGGGTATAACTGAACTCTACCCACAAGGTCAATAATATTCATTGAGTATCTTAACAAATTGAGTAATCCAGCAAATTTATCTTCAATTAAAATTTAAATTTTCAACTCATAATTTTATTAAAAAATCATTAATTAAAAAATTTCTGAATTTGCGAATTTGAATATGCATAAATTTGGAAGTTACATCATAAAATAGCTCTGATTTTAAAGTCTTCAAATTGTTTCTCTTTTACAATATTATAGACAAGGTTCCAATAAATTAAATTTTTCGATATTTCTAGAAATTGTATACTAATATAATATTTGCAATCTTATAATAATTGTTCTGAATTTGTTTCAATAACAGAATGCTAAATTATTAAGGCAAACAAAAAACAAATCAATTGCATTTGATCTTCACTCAAATTAATTTGTGTCAATTTGTTTTGTTTAAAACTTGTACATATAAAAATTAATTTCAGTAAAATATTTTTATTGAAAATACTCTTTATATCTATTTATACAAGTATATCGTATATTTAGTAAGAAAATTGTAAGCGAATATTTGAGGTAAATTAGAAATTATTCAAATTTTTTTTTGAAAATCTTATTTCTTACTGAATTTCTATAATATTTCTATAAAATTATACAAAAAAAAAAAAAACTATAATTTCTCCCAACTGGAATTGAGTAATGGAATTGAAAGTAATGGGACTGATGAAATGTTTCTGGAATTCCATTCAGTATTTGTATACAAGTTGCAAAGTACTTACATCAAAAGAAGTTGTGCATTTTCGAAAATAATCGTAATGAAATCCTAAAAATATGCAATATTTTTAATTTGTTGAATTAGAAAACAAATTTTAATTGTAAACTTTTCTACATTTAATTATGTAAAATGTTGATTTTTAATTAAATTTCAATTACCATTTTACAAAAATTTGCCATAATTTTGCACCTTCTTTTTGTTTTATTGAGCCCCAATAAAGAATAGATGAGCTCAATAGTTGCATTTTTTCTTACAGCTCAGAAATATATGTAATAGGTACAGAGCCTATTATCAGTGTCAAAGTCGAAAACAATTTCTTCTTTAAGTAACTCATGTTACAATACTTATAATTTGTATTCTTTAATTTACAATGATTTATAAGGTAACATGGAATGAATAGGTTAAATTTTTCAATACACACATATTTGTATTTTTATGAGATTTTTTAATACATTATTTAACACCTTAATTTTTTAAACCCTTTAAATTATTTTCCCATTCCCAATTTAGGTCAAACGTAAAAACATATTTCCGATTTACATTTTAACTGAAAGCAGGTCGATTATCAATTTTTACAATTATACATACTTACTAACGCAAACCGCAACAGTTGAATTTTTATCAATTGATTTATTTTTTTTATGCTTATATTATTATATTCGTGCATTATATACAGTTATACAGAATACATATAATATTAATGTTATGTAAATAATTTCAAAATAATAAATTTAATATTCGGAAAAAGTAAATTAAAAATTCTGTGTTTATATTTTTAATATAAAAACAAAACTAGAACGAGACATGATTTGAATTTAATGAAAGTGTGTCTGACTACAAAATTCTACGGTGTTTCTGTACTAAAATGCAATTCAGCTTATGAATTATAATTGCTGGATTGCATATTAATACTATATAACAGCAGCTTTGAGGCCAATCTGCAATATGTTTGAGCAATAACAACATTATTTAAGAATTGAGTTTCAAATTAAATTAGGTAAATAAATTATGATGCTATTCTTTGGAATATTGCATATTTTTAAACTTGTCCCAAAATATTTTACTGTATTTGAGATACTGCAATAAAAAAATTTCAATTTTTATTTTAAAATGCCCCCACCATTTTTATTTTTAAATTACAATAACCTAAAAAAATTTACTAAAGAAAAAAGTATTGCAAAAAAATTTTGTTTATCAAATATTGCAAACTTTATTTCAATGCAACCAAATGTTCTCTATCAGTTTATTTACATTATTATAAAAAAAAAATAAAAAATTTAGATTGTCTAAAATTTCCTTCTAACTCAAGTGACACTGATAACAACGAGGGAAAAAAAAAACAACTAATAATATGAAACCACTTATACAAATATTTCACAATATAAAAGCATTGTAATTATCAAAATAAAATTTACTTATAACAGATTTTCAATTTCCCAAAATACAAAACTCGTGTTAAGTGCACATTGCAAAATATATTTGCAATATTATCAAATGCTTGTATATATATAGTGTATGTGCATGTAATATGCACGTATGCACCATGCAAGTCAGGAAGGATTATAGTTTTGAGAGGAAAAGAAAACACAAAAAAATATTCATTATTTATTTGAATTACATTTATAAATTTTCGTATCTATGATAGAAGATAAGATAACAAAAGCTTATTTGACTTCATTTAATTCGTAACCAAGGCCATACTTATATAAAGAGATTGCTAAAATTAGACAAATAAATTTTTGTTATTATTGTGAGTTACAAAAAAAAAACTAAGCAAATATATTTTACGTTGAATTTTATATAAATATGTACAGAAAAATCAAAAACTAGAAATATGAGTTCCAGAATAAAGAAATGCAATTATTTTTAGTGCATTCTAACGAAGAGTGTTGTAAAAAATTAAAATATTAGAAATTAAATAATGCCAAATTTAATTTACTGTAGTAATTTATATTCAGAGTAGTGCAAAATCAAATATAACGAACTAGAACTCTGGAACTCAAACTAACTGTACATACTCTACAGAATTATATGATCCGTCACTTATTCTTATTCTACCAGTTTGTATGATGCTTCCCTGATAATAAAAACAAAAGTTATTTGAAATAGAAATTTTTTGTTTTAAATACAAGCTTGCAAAAATATAAAAATTAAGAAAAGAATTTAAAAAATGAAAGCTAACAAGTTCTTGTCTAAGGAAATTTTAAAATATCAACGACATTTTTAGCTTTAAAGTATATTATACGTGTAACGTGGCTAAGCATGCCATGTACATCCATTCACATAAAAGCAAAATATTGCTAGAATTTTAGTTATACAGATAGCACATATTTTGAAATATTTTATATAATTTCAAAGAATATATTACGGTAAGATTAGGTTACGGAGTAGGAATAGGTTTCCCTAGTAGAATAACTACTGTGGAAGAAAATTTGGCACGCCGGTTTTAAAAAATTTCATTTAATACACGATTGAAAAGTTCCTTGAAATTTTATTTCAGTGACACTTCTGGAAATCAGTCCCACAAAGTTTATGGTCTTATAAGAAACTAACTGAATATACCCAATATATCATGTAGTATAAAAGAACGTTGTTAATCTTTACAACTCTGGTGCCAGAAATTTTATAAATTTTGGGATCTGCAAGGTTCCAGAGGTACCAAAATATATCTTAAGAACGGTTCTAAAATATATAATTTATTATTAAAGTTTTGGAGCATATTTTTGAAAAGTTTTAGGCAAGTTCTACAACTTTCGTTCAACGCTTACTTATGAACTGAAATGAAGTATTTTACTTTGAAAAAAAATTATTTCTATAAAGTTCACAATTACCCAAAATAAATCTTATTATGCATTCGAATTCGATCTTTTTGTTGTCCGAAAACAGCTATGCAGAGGTTTTTCTTGATTATCAAATAAAAATTAAAATTTATGTAAGAACAAACAGCAAGGCAAGGCTTTTCGACTGAATACAAACGTAAATTTCAAAGAAACAATTGAATTAAAAAATAATTATAAAACAATTTTGTTGAAAAATTCAAATTCCTTACCTTTTGTTTGTTTTTGTGAAAAGTAATCCTTATTTGTTTGTTCTTATAATCCTTTTAATGTGAAACCGTTTTTTTTTTTAATACAAAATTATGAATAACTTTGTTCATTTCAGTTAATTTTTTTTAACCAATTACACACCAATTTCATTTTTATTTTATTTAATTTTTCTTTTTCAATAATTTGTACTTTATATATGAATTCACAGTATTCTTATTTGAATTCATAATATTCTTATATATATATAATAATATTTTTTTACAAACTGTTATACAAAAGAAATTTTTTTTTTCACTAAAATTAATTATAAAATTTAAAAATAACAAAAATGTTACTTAATCATTTTTTTTTATTGTTTCTTTATTTTTAATTTAAATTTTCCATTTTCATTTTATTTTTCAATAAAATTTCGTTTAAAAGAAATTTACTTTGTTTTTGTGAAAATATTTAATAATTTCATTTAATTGGAAAATTTATGAAACCAATAAATCAGATGAAAAGAACACTAAAAAAAAAAACACAGAACAAATAAAGTTTGTCTTCCTTTAAAGTAGACAAAAACTTAATATTTTTCATTATAATTGACATATTATTATGTATGAATATGAGTATGTATTTTGTATAACACTTTTTTGAATGACATCTACTTAAATGACATCTACTTTCATATATGTAAAAGAAAATCATTCAAATAACGCATACATGCATACGAGTATCAACTTAAAGAATGCGTATGCATATTGCGAGACGTCTGTGTGTGTGGGTATGTGTTTTTTAAATTGATGTTCGATTTAATGTCAAAAAAAAAAACGAATGGAGTTTATTTTAGCAATTTTATATGAAATTTTAAGTTAAATTAATTTCGCATTATTAATTGAAGGTAAAATATTATTTTATTTATGTTCAGGAAAGGTTTCACTAAAATATAGATAATTATATTTTTACCGGTTTTAAAGTAATTTCCAAATATCCTACACAAAATCAAAAACTAATTGAATTGCCGAAAAAGAGCTCTAAAGAAACATTTGCAAATAAAATCCGGCTAATATTGAGCACTTTTCTGGGGTCTCCTGAAGAAAGTTGATCAAAACATAGATAGGTGAACAATATTGACTTAACCGCAAATAGTTTTATCAATTCGTAGTTCCAGTGTTAATACTAAAATTAATTATAACAACGGCGAAAAATACTAAATATTTCATGTTCAGAATTTTGGATTTTCTTAGAATTTTAAATTGGTTCCTTCAGAGTTTCTTTTCATGTTTCTGAAATTAAACTTCCAGGATTAAATATAGCGTATTTTACATACTTTCCCGAATAAATTTTAAATTTCTAATTGCTTCAATTCAAAATTTGAATGGTGGTCCAGCTTAAAAAAATAATAACTAGAGTCATTCATTAAATCCATAAATTGACTGACTGATTAATTTAATTTCCTGAACTTTTTAAATATTTCGTTCAATATAATTTTTAATTTCTGTCCTACAATCTTACTGTATATAGTTATAATAAAGTGCGTAATGTAATATATATACATGTATTAATAAAACAAATAAAAAGAAATATTTTCCGAATCGAAATATTGAGCAAAATTTATATAAAAAATATAAAAAACCAATATCAAAACCATTAATAACTATATAAAAAAAAAATTAAAAGTTCAAGATCATTTTAAATCTGATACCTACATGCTCACACATTTGTAAATGAATAATTAATATAGCGATCAACATACATAAATGTATTGACATAAGCACAAATGTGTGTATGTGTATAACTGATCCAATACGATTTTTATTTCATTTTTTTTGCAAAAATTTATTTTTGGACGTAAATGAATAAATCTTGGTAGAAATATTTTTAAAAAATTTTAATAATCTTAAAATGCATGAGATTGGCAAATTGATCAGCAGTTAATAAATTTTATAATTAGTATTTTAATTTTATTTTCTCGATATAAAATTCATATGTTAATTTAAATAAATAAAATTTACATTTATTTTTCGTTTTATTTATTTACTAAAAATATTTAAATATTATTATATTTTTTATAACAATAATAATAATTTTTAAACAAAAGGTAACTAAACTGTGATATTCACATTTAAAAGGCTTCAATATTATTACGCACTCAAAAGCACGCACACAAACTTATAAAATATTTAACATTACACAACAACTACACTTTTAAACATATTATAATAACATATGTATATTTGTATGCATGTATATTATATATAACGCATCTATGTATATACATATAGGTGTACGAATGCGTACTTTTTATCAATTTAGAACACAAAAGTTTTTTTTTTTTCAATAATCTCCTATACATATGCAATTTATATGTAATAAAATGCATGTAGGTACATAATATACATATGTACATATACATATAGAGAATTGCAAATTAAAGTACATGCAATTATTTATGAATATTTAGGTATAGTAAAAAAGCCGCTTTTTATTTAAACTTAATACTCGTACATACAGGCAATATGTAATTAAATATCATATATGTATGTACATGCATGTATACTTGCATGTGCATACAAACGCATAAATTTGGCCGTCTGCAATCAAAAAATAAAAAAAATTTCATTTATTAATTTATTTTTTGTTTTTTTTTTTTCTTTTATTAAGATAATAAAGTAATTTATCAATATTTTAAATAAATAAATTGTAAAAAAAAAATTTATATATTTTGTATATAAAAAAATTATTTTTTAATTAATTGTTATATTATATTTTATTATATTTCGCTAATATGAGAAGAAAATTCAATAAAATAAAATTTTAAATTCAATTTTTTAATTAATTTTAATTTACCGCATTTAGGAATGATTGCATGTTATATAAATTTATTATATTAAAAATAATAATATGGAAAAAATTAAACTATAAAATGAAAATTATTATTTTATTATACTATCAAAAATGTATTACAGTTGAAAATTATATTTAATTAAAAATTTTGTGTTGTTAATTATTATTATTAGGCAAAAATTGTTGAAAAATTCTATAAAAAAAAATTTATTTTATAAAAATTATGAATTAATATTATTTCTCGTATTCTGCCCTATTATATGTTATACTATATGTGCATATGCACTTATATATGCAAGCATATAACTACAATAAATTTATATGAAATAATTCTTTCCATATATTAATAAAAAAAAATTTTACAGACCTATGTCACTTTTTTGTTTTTTAACAATTTTTTTTTTGTGCAATTCTATGAATGTATGCGTAAATTGCATATATAATATGAATAATGTCATACTCATAGTCTATATACTAGAAATATTATGCTTATATGTATTTACTTAATTATAATATTCAATAATATACAAAACAAAAAAAAAAAATTTGCAAAAAATAAAATGAGAAATAAGAAAACGACGCCACACTGCACTTTATAGGCACATACGCACATACATGTACATATACCGCATATACACAAACACAAATACGTTATCATTCTAATAAGTAAAAAATAAAGTTGTTTTCTTATTTTTATTTTTTTTGGTTATTGATAAAATTAGGAAAATTAATTTAATACATTTTTTAACTGAAATTTATTAATAAGTATGTGTATATAAAATTATATTCAATATCATATTATTTAATAAATTTTTTATTAATATTATAATGTTTAATAAACAAGGTTATATTTAACATACAAAAATAATTTTTAATTCAGAAAAAAAAAATTATTTGTAAAATTTTATATAGTATTTTAGAACACGTAATTTTATTTAATTATATTTAATATAACTATATAAATATTAAATATACATATACATAAGCACATAATTTACTGGTTCAAGTCGTGTATATGCAAGTAATACATGAGTATGTGTATTGCAATCTCTTCAATGTCATGTTATAAATTTGTATTTTTCTTCTTTATCAAGCATAATTAGATTGCTAAATACGAAAACTTATAAATTAATAAACAAATAAATAATTAATAAAAAAGAATATAAATCAAAATGTAAAAAACAACACAAAATAATAAAATTTTGAATAAAAACATTATTGCTTGCACAATACTTAATTTTAATATACTTTTTTATAATTTCATTAAAATTATTTATAAAAAATGACAGTAAACATGACAAGTATATACTTTTAAAACTCATATTCATACATAATTTGTAATATAATATGTCAGATAATATAATGACATAAATGACAGTTCACACAATTTCAGATGTCATTTTGAATTTCCTTCTTTCTTTTTTTCTTATTATTTTATTTAAAAAATTCTTTTAATTCTTAAATTTAAATAAATAATTTTTGAATATATTTACATTTATAAATTTAAATAGTTTACTAGAATATTATTCAATTAATTTATTAAATTTTATATGTAAATATTTGAATAAACGTCAAAATCTATTATGATTTTAAATATAAATTATATATTCAAATTAAATTTTTAAAAATCTTTATTTTATATTTTTGATTTTAGAAAAATGAACACTTTTGATGTTTGTTTTGTATTTACAAGAGTATATTATTATATACGTATATGTATGTATGTATACAATTATATTATAAATTTTATAATTATTATATTTATTGTTATTGTTATTTTTTATATCATATGTTTGTTATTCCATTTTAATTAATTATTTTAATGAAAATTTTATTTTATATTTTGTACTGTAGAAAATTTGATTTTGTAAAATTTTGTTTCTTCTTTTCAATTTAAATTGTATGCATATAATATATTTACACTTATATATATATATTAGCACTTATATTTAATATAGTAATTTCAATTTTATTTAAAAAATAATTAATTTTATATATTTTATATTAATATTTAAAATTAAAATTAAAAAAAAAATAATAATAATAGTAGTAAATTTTTGATTTTATTTTCTTGTTTTCTTTCTTGTTTTTTACTCTTTTTATTACATTTCACATATATATATATATATATATATAAATTATGTCACATCACCTTATATTTTTTTACATATATTAATGCAATTTATAATAAAACATAATAAATTATACGTGTATATTATATGCATATTTACATATAATATAAATATTGTAAATACATTTTGAATGACATATGTTTGTA